TGTCCGAAACGTCAGTCCCAATATAACTCGGTCCATGTCCTTAAACCTTCTTTAGGGGAATATGACATAGGGCCTACTGACGTAGGGGAAACAAAGTAGTCAGCCGTCGCGTTCGAGACGCGCACACTTTACTCCAACACCACTCCTTTTTAAGTCCTGCTGTAGTACAATGAAACCGAAAGAAAATTATTAAACAGACTCAAAAAACAATGCATAATGAAGGCAAGAATGTCAGAAAGGTGAAGAGGGCAGATTAACCACTCACCTGGAGTCGGTTTTCTGTGAAATTAAATACTCCAAGCAGTCCTTACGACAGGGAGCCTGGAGTGCGAGCTCTTCTTTTAGCAATTGTGATAGAGACAGCGAATAGCTAGAAAAAAGATCGAAAAATCAGGGAAGAGACCATGAATGAATTACGTTAGACTACTTACTAGGCAAGGAAACATACTAAATGGCGCTCAGAGTTAGCTGAAGGAATATAGAAGCAAATGAAACGCCGACTGGTAACACGGTCTGCGGGAAAATTTTGCAATAGCATGCATGCTAACCAAAACGCCACTTACACTCACCTCATAAAGGCTTCTGTTTTCTTTTGTTCTGTGTGAATTTCTTCAAAGCATCCTAGAAACGAAGACACGTGCTCCTCTGTGAGTGTAAGAAGGTTATCCTGACCACTAACGTTTGACAGATCTTCCAGCTTATGCAAGGTGCGTAAGATGTCGTTTTCATAACTTACTTTGTATGTTACTTGCAGTACATACGACGACAGCGAGAGGAGAAACTGATAGATAATTGTTTCACTTGGAGCACTCCAAAAGCGGGAGAAACTTCGCGTCAACTTCAAGTTCTGAAATGTATTGATCAACAGAACAAAGGCGCCAATACTCACCCCTGGTAGTTCTTTTAACCACTTGAAAAGTATATTTTTAACAAGTACGTCGACCCTGCAATTGTACTGTATAAGAAGAGGCCTTCAAAATTAAAAAAAATTAACAACTAGTCTGTTACTCAAGAAACTGAGAAAAGCGTTTCTGATCCAGTCGTCCAAGCAGAAACGAGACCAAGCGGACGATCGCAATTTTTGGCGGATGTCGCAGTAGACGCCTGCAAGATTACGATGGCATAAAAGTATGAACGGCGTACCCTAGTTTCACGGAATCATTGGGCACTTCAAAGCGCAGAAAGTCAAATCCCAGAAGGCGTAGGTTGCACAAAAGAATTTGAGGACTAGCCGGTAGATCCGGTGCCAGTGTGGTGCAGTCCATCAAAATGCACAAAGGAGCTGTCAAGGGAGAAAAAAAACAGGAGTTTACACTGAATGCACGTCTTTCTGAAAAGTGAACTAATACATTTGTGCAAGAGTTAAACTCATCCGGTTGTCCTTAGGCATGAGGAGTAAGGGGCAATCAGTCAGCAAACGTTTTTTGTCAACTGTTGGCCAATGCCAGCACAACACCCGGCCGGATTAAAAGTGGTTAACTGCGTAAAATAGGTGTTAACAAACAAGGTTGGCTGGTGTGGCTGTGGTAACTCACAGATAAAACATTCGGCACGAATTCTAGGGTTGCGGTTGGTCTCGACCTAACAGCAAACGCTTCATGATTGTGCGCTTTCCACAGTAGCAGTCGCTCCACAGCCCAACGTTTAAGGAACTATGAGGAAGATTAAATGTAGAATGGTGAACAGTCAGACTGTTCCAGACAGGATCTTGCCCAACGCAACTAGCTCTTGACGGTCGACACGTCAAATGGGTTTTAGCAGATTGTAATGCCATGGTCCGTGAACTGGGGGCTTGAGATAGCATGCTGGGCCGTGTGCCACGAATGCGTAGGCCATATGTTTAAACTGGGACGCATTCTGGAATCCTGCTATGGCTGCCAGCAACCGACGGCCGTCTGCTTTGTTGACTTTGCCGCTGTGTTCGATTCCGTCCATCATGAGTCCCTGTG